ATGTTTGTGGTGGTGTGCCGCTCGCTTACACGCGCCGCTCGCTTACTGGTTACGTTACTGATCTACCAGTGACTACTGGTCCCCGCGTCTCGGATCTAGACTACCTCCTGTTTGTAGCTCCTCAAGCTATGTGTTTGAGGGCTGAAAGCTCTGTAGTTAATATAAATTCCTGAAGCCATTCAAGTAACGACCGAAACTTGCTTTTCTATTAGACCTAGTTAATGGGATGAATAGAAGAACATTGAGTTCTGGCATTTGGAATTTTGGACAAGCTCTTTTTCTGTGACCGAAGCTAATAGTGCAGAGCGAAAGATACAGAACATTACTGAGTCCTGGTAACTTATTTCCCTTTTCTACAGTGTAGGTATAAATGGCTTCATTTAGCCAGACCACCCGCAATCAAGCTGGTTGCAAAAATGGTTTACTGTTCCTTTGTTTCTGAAGTCCTGATCTAAAGCACGCTAAACTATTTTTGTAAGATTTTCCAGAACCATCGTCATCACCTCCTGTAACTAGGGCATTTGTTCTGCCATGTGGACATTTTGTAGATCCTCCCAGGGAATGATGTTGATCATCCCCAGCAGCACAAATGGTCCTACTCTCCCTTCATCAACACTGGAGTTTATTCATGACATAATTTTGAGTAATGATCTTACCCCCTCCCGGATTGCTAATGCTGTTGGCTGCCATCCAAGTACTATCAGTACTATCACTGGGCATACCGCCAATATCTGCGTCTATGCTTATGGGTCCGGTTGGCCTTGCGCTTGTTGGAGCTCAAGGTGAAGCTGATGGATACACATGGGACTGTTGGAAGCCAGTTGTGCTGGATGACTCTGTTGGTCCTTCTTGCAATAACCCTGCGCGAGCTCCACGCGCATCCGAAGCTTCGCAGGATTATAATGATTATTATTATTATTAATTTCATTCACGCGTCTGTCAGCTCTATCAGCTGAGTGGCGGCAGGTCCCTGCCGGCGGCTGGGTATGCCGCTACTATCTTACATACGTTAGATCCACAGCGAGCACGAATTCATCCATAATACCCCCGTAGATGCGCTTAGTATAATGCTCATTGCTCCTATCTTTGCTTCTAGATGATCCAACCACCCTGAGAGGTGTCTAGCCTAGTGTTCTCCCTCATCAAACAAGTCCTGCAAGCGAGCCGTGGCAGTGTATAGGTTAGGGGTCGTCACCTGTATTGCTAACCTAGAATATGTCTGGTAAGCCCTGGAACTGGCCTAGGAGCCTTATAGTGATAATAAAGTGGGCTGCCTGCCGTACTAACTCAGGCTCGCGAAGCAGGTAAGTATGGTCAGTTTCCTGTGAGTGCTGCCAGACCGTACGGAGCTGGGGCCCGGTGTAGGTCGGGCAGGCAAACAGTATATACTGAATGTCTTGACGGCCTAGGCCGCAGATACAATCCAACTGTGGGCATCGCCCTGAACAGCTGAGATAGCTTGCCAGCGTGACCTTGCCAGTGTACATCTGTATCACCACTGAGCTGCCTGCGCGCTTCAAGCCCGCATAGAGCTGGAGCACAGCGCGGCTCAGGGCCGTAAAAATCCTCTGTAGGGCAGCGCCATGAGCATGATCGGCGCAGGACTGGTGCTAGTGCTCCCTCATTGAGGCCTGGAGGCAGTGGCGTAGTGAGGCATAGAGTACCAGCCCTGCTGGCTTACTATCATCATTACGCTCTGCGGCTTCCTTGCCCAGTTAATCAGCCTGTTTGTTACCGTAGACCGCTTCGTGCCCAGGGAGCCACCGTAACTGTACCCGCCATCTATCTGCATGCAGGTAGTCTAGTATGCAACAAAGGAAAAGAAGGAGAGGTCACATATATATATATGTCGCGGGGCGAGCATATATTATATGCTGATGGAGATCCGCAGACGAATGACTGGGTGCAGACTTTGGAGTAGAACTCCGTCGTCCGGAGGCGCTCTGTGAACTCCGTGGGCTCGAGGGACTGAAGGTACTGGACCGCCTCCTGCTTCCCTGACCGGGGGGTCGGGGGTGGCGTTGGGGCCACTGTCGGTGGCTATGCTGCGCTTTTGTGTAAAGGGCGAGGTGTTTGGGGCTCTTGTTGCGTCCACAAGAGCAGGTGATCTTGATGTTGTCATGCCGGAAACGGCGATGGTACCAGTCAAGGTCACCGTGGGAGGACCTCAGGGCGAGCCATCTGTGGAGGACTGGGCGGTGTAGGTCCAGCTCTGGCAGAGGCTTCACCTCATAGGCGAAGCCCCATTGTCGATACCACCGAGAGAGCTTGGCTGATGCCTTCGTCCACCATGCCGCGCGGGCGTCGTCTCGGAGCCCTCGGCACGCTGAGCGTATGCCGCTGACTGTCGGGAGGGACTTGGGTCCCTCATCCTGGGGGTTGCTGAGCGCTCCTTGGTTCGCAAGGGCGTCGGCCTCGTTGCCTTCGATGCCCATGTGGCCGGGAGACCACTTGAGCTGGATGTCGTGCTGCTCCATGGCGGCATGGATATTGAGGAAAGCCCACTGTGAGGTGGCTGGGGCGTCACCCCGGATGGCCCAGATGACTGAGCTGCTGTCGATGCAGAGCCAGGTCCGCGTTGGGCTGAGCTCTGAGAGGGCGTGTTTAAGGCCCTTCCAGGCACCCACAGCCTCTGCGTCGAAGACGTGGGACTTTGGGTTGAGGGCACCGTGGCCGGTCAAGAGCTGTCGACCACCTTGGTAGATGGCGTAGCCGTACCCAACCCATCTGGCGCCGTCCACGTGTTGTTCCGATCCGTCAGAGAACACTGTGAAATCAGTCGGGGGAAGATCAGTGTGCCAGGCCTGGAAGGCCTTCGCAGCGGTCTCATTGTCAATGCCAGCGGTGGGCTCCTCTCTGCTGCCAGGCTGTAGTGCGGAGCGGCCAGCTGAGGTCTGGGATTAAGGGGGGGAGAGTCCCAAGCCTCTGGACCTTGGTCCTCGGCCTCTATCGGGTGCCGTACCGCGTCCCTTGACGATCATGGGAGGGGTGATCCGTGGCACAAGGGGGTGGGATTCGTCGACTTTCCGGAGGCGGAAGGCAAAGAGGAGCTTGGCTTCCTCGAGCGCCACGTCGGCGGAGGGCAGGCCTGCGTCGCAGAAGAGGGTTGCGGTGGGCGTGGTGCGCCAGACTGGGAGAACGCCCTGAACGGCCAGGGCGAGCGTCTTGTTGAGTAGCGACATGTGCCAGCCGACACGTACACTGACCAGCTCTGGTCATCCGTCGCCAGAGTGTCGTGTGGGCTTCTTCCGGCCTGTGTACCATGCCTCCGTGCCGTATAGCAGTGAGGGGAGAAGACAGGTTATAACGGCGTCCGTAGGGATGATGCAGGGGGCCCATCCACGGTGCGTGCGAGGTCGCTAATGTGTTGCGAGACGGCCTGAGCTTTGGCGGCACAGGCGGTGACATGGCGGCGGAAGGTGAGCTTCCTGTCTAACCAGACTCCGAGCCAGCGGAGCGCTGGATGCTGGCCTTCTTTCTCAGCGGTGGTGATCAGCTGGATGGTGAGGGTATCGTTCACCAAGATGGGCGGGGCGGCGTCGTCTTGTTGCGGTGTGATGTGTATTGCTTCAAGCTTTTCGGGGGCGAAGGCGACCTTGTTGTTCGCGCCCCATTTGAGCACGTCACCTGGGCGATTAGTTCAGCATTCTTCTCAAGGGAGTGGGAGGACCGTTGTAGGCCGATGTCGTCGGCATAGCCGAAGCGTAGCTTGGTGTCCTTGAGCAGGAGTTCCGCAAGGTACAGAAGGAACAAGATGGGCGAGAGCTAGGATCCTTGGGGGGTTCCACAGCGGACGGGGTAGCTTGGCGTGGTGGTCTTCTCGAGCCGGACCCTCGCGGATCGGTCTGAGAGGAAGCTGTCAATGAGCCGGATGAAGGAGAGGGGCCATCCCTGCTCTGTCATGCGCTTCAGGAGGCAGCGTTTGAGGAGGGCGTCAAAGGCCCCTTGCACATCCATGGTGACCAGGGTGACCTTCCGGCCTTGGGCCAGGGCGGCTTCCGCGTGGTGGGTGAAGGCAGCGACAAGATCCATCATGGAGCGCTTAGGAAGGGCCCCTCCGTGCTGGGGGCTGATCACGCCGTTGGTGAGAGCAGTCCACGCCAAGCGGCGGGCGACGATTCGTTCCAGGCCTTTGGAGACGTAGTCTTGAGAGGAGGGCGATCGAGCGCCAAGAGCGGACGGAGGACTTGTCCTTCTTGCCTACTTTTAGCAGCATGGCCACTTCCGCCAGCCTCCAAGGGCGTGGCAAGTGGCAGAGGGCGAGGCAACGGCTGTAGAGGCCGAGCAGGGGGTCCCGGAGGTGTGCCCAGCAAGCCTTGAGCAGCCGTACGGTGATGCGGTCGGTTCCTGGCGAGGTGCTAGTGACGCCGATGGTGTTCCATTCTACCTCCTCAAGGGTAACGGAGCTGGTCCAGGGCAGGTGGCCGGTGCCGGCCCAGTACCTCGTTGAAGCGCCCGAGAACTGAGGCCCGCAGGGCTTCGGCCATTTCTTGAGGTTCGGGGTCGGCTTATGCCAAGCCATGATTTTGTAGAGGTCCTTGTCATCCTCGACGTCATCAATGATGTGTTTCCAGTACGCCCGCTTGGCGTCCCGCACGGTTGCCTGGAACTCTTCCCTGACGGCCTTCCGCTCCTTGGGGTCAAGGTTGGGGTCGTGTTTGGCATGGAGCCAGTCTTGGCCGCGGCGCCCTGCCCCCGGTCCGGTTTCCGACGACCTTAACGGCTTCCTCGAAGGTGGTGGCTAGCTGTGTCGCGTAGTCGTCGAGCTGGTCGGTGGTGTCAAGTCCCCAGGGGTCTGGCAGCGCTGCGAGCTGGTTGGTTAGTGATATATATTGACGATTTTGCAGTCGTTGACGCTGACCCATAGGAGGTCCCGGCTCTGTACAGGTCGGTGCTATTGGGCACGGAGTCCAGCTCCTTTGCGGACATAGGTCATGACACTGGGACGTTTGTGCTCCCTGTGTTCCTCGCTGTTCCGGGCGTCGACTGGGGCAAAGCATTCATAGCATGGGTGGTTGGAGGTCCTGGTGTGGCAGGATGGCGACCTGGCAACGTTGATCTAGCAAACCTGCAGATCGCGGGTGCTGCACTGTCGATTGCGGGCGGTGCCGCGGCGCCTCGTTGGGTTTCCTAACATTGAGTGGGGTCAGGGGTGCTGTCGATTCCGCCCATGTCGCTGTCGGGCTGGGAGCAGAAGGGCGTGAGCTCGACGCCGTGTCTTGGTTGATCTGCTTCTCGAAGAGCTTCGCGGTATTGTAGGTGTTGTTGAAGGACTTGGGGGTTGCTGATCGGCGGATTTTGCCAATTCCGCTGTCTGCAGTGAGGCGGCATCACTCTTCCGGCCAGGCGCGGGGCTGGCCGACGTGTGAGATTGTGGCTGAGAGTCTGGCTGGGTCTGTGGCTGAGTGCTATCGGCGTCTGTGGCGTCGGCGGCCTCAGCGTTGGGCCTGTGAAGCTTTTGGTATGACTTCGATCCCAAGCTTCCGCGTGGCCTTGAGCTGCGACTTGGTTGGGTAGATGAGTTTGCCATGCTCTCGTCTCGGGGCTGCGGGGCAGTTCTGATGGTTCGCAGGGAAGGGGCCGTGGCAGTTCGCGCACTGGGAATTACTCTTAGTCAGCGCCCGCCCTTTCCGTATCGTCTTTTATTCCTTCTTTTAGCTAGTGAGCCAAGCTGCCAAGCAACTCTTATTAGTTATTAGTGTATTTAGTGAGATAACTAAGGTATATCGATGAATACTATCTATCTAGTCAATAGGCCGGTGGCCAAGTCTGACACAGAATAAATATTGCTCTGTTACAGTACTATATTGTTTGATACGACTTGTAGAATATAAATGAAACATATGTTGGAAACTGCAATACCGTCACATGTTCAGAATCACTAGTATTCATATACAAATGATAAAGCAATGAAGGTCTGATTCTTTTCTACCTAGTATTTAAGAACGAATATTCTACCAGATGAGGCTATCCAGATCGTAATCATCGTATCTCAGGGGCTAGAATAGGGGTATCTTGGCTCACTGCTGCGGATAATGCAGTAGTGAGAAAGATGTCTAATAGGCGGTCACTTATATCAACAACATATTTTCTACACCTGCTACAGACTAACGCTCAGGTTGTGGCGCTGAGAAAGAGCCAAAGAGTGTAGAACTGTGAAAGCTGAAACTGCAAGGCACTGTAGTATAAATAGAAAAGCATGGCCTTTTTTAAAATGATGTTCTCAGATTGAGAATTTAGCCAAACCGACATGTAAGAAAATGATGTCATTTTTTCACGACCTGATTGGTCGAACCTGAACTCACTTTACCATGAGTATATATCTGCATATAGCTAATATCTGCGAGGCTGAAGTTTTGGCAATATAGTACCGCCTTGGAGTGGGGTTTTGAAAAGTTTTGTACCCCCTGGCTGCCGTGGAGGTACTTAGGGAGTGCAAAAGCTTTTGAACCCGATGTAGATTTAAGTGCTATTATAATCATGCTACCTTGAACTAGGCTGTTCGACTGTCACTAATTTTATTATATCCTGTTGGCATCATGATAAAAGCCCACAGCTCTGGGTCCTGCTGATCTGAAAGGCATCGCTCCCTTCTCAAGCATATCAAGCCAGAGATGCGGCATTTTATTCCAATTTATAGCTATTGCGGCCCAGAGCTTTTACATTGCTAGCGCAACTTCTACCTACCGTTCTGTAGCGTACTTCGCGAACTATGTAGTTCATACTTAATCCAAATCATCTCAAGGGTGCGCTAACACAGTACTATAGGCAATATATGGCAGGAAGTTTTTCCCGGAAGACCTCCCTGCTGAGAGACTTACACATGTTCTGTATGCCTTTGCCAATGTGCACCCTGAGAGTGGGGAGGTATATTTCTCCGATCAATGGGCAGACCTTCAATACACCTATGGCAATGATTCAAGAGAGGCGGGAAACAATGTTTATGGGTGCGTAAAGCAGCTTTATCTACTGAAGAAATCAAATCGAAATCTTAAAGTGCTCCTATCTATTGGTGGGTGGAGCTTCTCAGCAAATTTTGCAGGTCCTGCAAGCTCAGACCAGAAACGAAAAATGTTTGCCCAAAGCTCTATTAAATTACTCCAGGATGCTGGATTTGATGGCTTAGACATTGATTGGGAGGTCCGTCGACAGTGCCATTCTGCTACAGCAAATATTCACTGATTATATTGGGATAAAATTTAGTATCCTGAAGATGAACAGTAAGCAAGTGACTTTGTGCTGCTTCTGGATGAAGTTAGAGCTGTAAGAATTTTTCATAACCACAGCTTCTCTAATCAAATATGCTGATGTTCTCCTAGGCGCTTGATAATTACAGTGCAGCACATCCCAATGGAAAAAAACTTCTTTTAACAGTGGCATCCCCCGCGTGAAAGTTTTAACTCGATTTCTGTGCTTGTAGGTATCTAACAGACCTATTAGCGCCGGCGAGAATCAATACATTGAAACTCGCCGATATGGATTCTAAACTGGATTTCTGGAACCTCATGGCGTACGACTACGCCGGGAGTTTTTCGGCCACAACAGGGTACCTAGCTAATGTTTACAATGAAACCTGTAATCCTAGGTCTATACCATTCAACACTGATCAGGCAGTCACCATGATGATTGAGGGTGGAGTGGTTGCTAATAAGATTGTCCTGGGAATGCCGCTTTATGGCCGCTCATTCGCTAACACTGATGGTCCTGGGAAGCCTTTTAATGGTGTCGGCCAAGGAAGCTGGGAAGAAGGAGTCTGGGATTACAAAGTCTTACCACAGGCAGGGTACCAAGAGTATACTGACACTAACATCATTGCAAGCTATAGCTACAATCCTAGTACAAGGACACTCATCAGCTATGACAACCAACAGGTAGCCGAAATGAAAGGAGATTACATCAAATCCAGAGGCCTTGGGGGTGCGATGTGGTGGGAAAGTAGCTCTGATAAATTGGGCACTGGTAGTTTGATTACCACTGTATTTTCGCGACCTATCCTATGGTATAAAGACATGGCTGACATATTATCGATAGGTGGTGAATGCATTGGGAGGGGAAGGGGCACTAGAACGAAGCCTGAACCAGTTGGACTATCCAATTTCCCAATATGAGAATGTGCGCAGTGGAATGTAGGATACACAGAAGGCTAAATAAGAATAAAATTCAGTTATTATTATTAATTTCATTCACGCTCCTGTCAGCCCTATCGGCCGAGTGGCGGCAAGGTCCCTGCCGGCGGCTGGGTACGCCGCTACTATCTTACATACACTAGATCCACAGCGAGTACGAATTTGTCCCTAATAACCCCGTAGATGCGCCCAGTATAATGCCCGTTGCTCCTACCTTCGCGTCTAGATGATCCAACCACCCCGAGAGGTGTCTAACCTAGTGCTCTCCCTCGTCAAATAAGCCCTGCAAGCGAGCCGTGGTACACAGGTCAGGGCTCGCCACCCGTATTGCTAACCCGGAATGTGTCTGGTAAGCCCTGGAACTGGCCTAGGAGCCTCGTAGCGATGGTGAAGCGGGCGGCTCGCCGTACTGACTCAGGCTCGCGAAGCAGGCGAGCATAGTCAGTTTTCCGTGAGTGCTGCCAGACCGTACGGAGCCGGAGCCCCGCGTAGGACGGGCAGGAGATCAGTATATCCGAACATCTTGACGGCCTAGGCCGCAGGTGTAATCTACCGCGGGCATCGCCCCGCAGAGGACAAGCGGGCTACTGTTTAGCCCGTTACAGTCTATTACAAGATGATTGCGTGTCTGTCCTCTCTGAGAAATCCCCTTGTCTCTAATTTCAGACATATGCCTACATTATCCAAAATGGTAACCAAAGAAACCGAACTCGCCGAAAATGAATTTTGGGGCTGAGTATGGAGAGTAAGAACAATAGTATATTGAGAATAATACAACGATTGATCCTTGAAGAAGTCTTTAAGGTTCAGTAACTAGCATACATCTTATACTTGGGAAGACAACTCAGTCTCGCCTTCGAGAGAGAAGTAATAGAACGATATCAATTCGCCAGCCGCGCATCGGGCAGGTCTATCACTTCACCAAAACCTTACCGACTAGGTTAGCTCGTGTTGAACTCTTATCAGCGTCTAAGAGGTAGAGGCATCGGCACCTAGAGCAAAGGGGGACCGGGATTCATGAAGACTTATGGCCATAGTCAATCTTGGGTACCTTAATGGGTCCCCTGAGATTCCACGACCCTTATTTTATAAAGATGACCTGTGACCGTATTGTGGGAATGCTCAATTCAGATTCCTCTTCTCGTTGTACGCCGTCATATCACTTTAGCAGCTACCCCTAACCCTATCTGTACTACAGATTATTCATGGCCATAAATGCTTATAGAGCGTACGTGTTGCATTTATGGCAGTCCAACCTTCAGTACATCTCCAATTTGGTCAATAGACACCCTGAAGCTGACACACATCCAGGGTATGACAGGTTGTGAAACCTTGCAAAAGAGCAGTCTGGTGTGTGTACATTGCGCATAAGATAGCGATGTGAAAGATCTGGTGCGAGCTTCCCCAAATATCGAACTTACCCGGTGCTAGACGCTCCGAAATTCAGAACTATACATGTTCGTCAGAATTCTTGTCTCTCAGGGAATGGAACACGCGGTAAGTGTGCAGACATACCGCATATAGACCGACTCCAGTGCCAGAAAGTAAGCTCAAGCAAATACCATTTCATCCCCGAGTATTGGAGCATGTATTCAAGCCCGTATCGTTGGACTCCATGCAGCAGGGGTATAAACGATGAAGCGCCAAAAATAACGAAGGCGCACACCTTCACTTTCCGCCATCGCGGCGTTTTGAGCAAGGGATTCGAGATTAGAACACCAGTGACAGTACCCGTGGTTAAGACTTAGAACTCATGTCAGCGTATAATTGGATTTGACTTGGCTGGTCAGGAGGATGGGGTGAGTGGTGACAATTGCTTGGAGAGACTTACAATAGCCCAGTGCAATTTCTGCAAGCTCGTCTCACAGAAGAATACATAGTAAATGCCGGAAGAAAATGTGCCCACTGTCACAATAACAATACCAAGCAGATCCATTCCATGCCAGAACTGTTCTACTTGATGCGAGTGGGGTTGCATTAGGTGGTAAAGTGCGCTGAGGACCAAACAGATCTCCGCACACCAGAAGTAGATTCCAAATATAGCGTAGTCCATGAACGAGACATTGAGAAATTGAGGCTCTGCCAGGTACCGCTGGAAGGTAGTTGCGACGAGTGGTAGGAGCAGAGCCCCGATCAGATGGGTGTACACATTGCAAGACTCGTTGTGCAAAAAGGTCAGGCTAGTAAAAATCTCCAGATAATCTGCTTTCGCTGGTCGATAGCCACTGAGGATATACTTGTTGTCAAACTGCCATTTAGAAATTTCCTGCCACGTTACAGTTCGCGCTTTAGCCTTTGGCTGGTTTGTGGGGTCGTTCGTGGTGCTCATATTGACTTTCGGCACTTGCCGTTTTTTTCATTTCTGCTCCTGACATGATCCTTCTCCCGAGATATCTGAGCTGTGCCGACGATGAAGCACGCATGGAAGGGCACAGGAGGAGTAGATGACTGAGACGAGGTAAAGGATACCAAAGGGCTGGATTGCTGAAAAAAGGGCAGGGGAATAGATAAGCGTCACAAAGAAAATGCGATGTAATAGTAACGGGTTCGCTAGACCTGCAACAAAGTGATTGTCAAGGAATATAAGCGTAGGGAGATGACGACTTACATCATTTATCTAAGGAAGTAATAATAGGCATGAGGGAAAATTTGACATTAGGACCAAAGTACGATAAAACTAACGTAATCCACAACCGAGCGAGCCACCCGGACATGATTCTGCCCGCAGTCAACTATAAGATATCTTAGTACTACGGAATCAAACCAAAGCAAAAAGTCTTTGACCATTTGAATTATCTAGGTCTACTAGGACCGCTTGTTCTAATATGACCAATTTGATCGCAATCGCTACATCGTGGTGGCGCACGCTTCTTAGGAACTGGTTCCATCACCTGTATAGCTTCTTGGGCAAGTTGCTGGCCTTCAGCACCTGTCCGAACACTTCCATTCGCCATAAAAGATCTAGGGGTTGTGCGCTTTTGTTTCTGCTTCTCATTTGCTGCGCGTAGCCCTTTTATCTCCTGATCTAGGAGAAGGACTTTATGCATGGTACATTCAGCCGATTTTGCTAGCTGACGGATTGCTTCATTTGGAGGACTTTCAGAGTTGCGATTGATCAGTTGTTTGATGAGGTCCATCTGCTTTTGTACCTCAGCAGTTGTATAAGGAGTCTTTGCAGTCCATTCCTGATCTGAAGGCCCATGGGCAGTAGATGGTGGTGTAATATGCTTGATAGTAAGCTTATCCAACACCCGTTGGCAATTCAATGGAACAAGACCAGAGGCTTCAAATCCACTGCGGATATTTCTGGACGATAAGGCCATTCGTGCTTCTCTGTAAAGTGTCAGAAAGTTCTCCTTATCAATATGATCAAAGCCCTTTCGAATGCTGCTCATCACCTGCATGCCGTATGCCTCCTTTAGAGGTGCAAAACAGCCAATATCAAGTGGTTGCAGCTTATGAGAAGAATGAGAAGGCATATAAAGAGGGATGATCTGATGACTCTTGCAGAAAAGATCAAACTCTGCTGATTCATGGCTAGCATGGCCATCAAGAATCAAAAGCCGATATTTCCCAATTGTACGAGCCATAGTATGTTTTTCAGACCTTTTCCAACCATAAAACTCCAAGGTCATTATTCGTCCACCCATTATCACTCAGGCCGATTAGCCAGTCAGGGTTGATATCTTGATACCATTGAGATTGGTGGACCTTGCCGGAGAAGATGATCATAGAGGGGAGAGGCCATCCAGAGGCATTGATGCATTCAATGACAGTGACCCATTCGCGATTCCCTGGCTGTATAGCTCGTACGCGGCTTGTTCGATGACAGGATGCAGTAATGACCTTTGCTGGATGGGCTACACCCATTTGAAAGCCAGTCTCATCAAAGTTGTAGATATCTTGTTCAAGAATACCATATTTTACTATGGTATTCTTAACAAGATTAAACCATTGGTTGATGACTTCTAGGTCCTCATATTTCGCACGCTGGTAATCATATTTGCGGGTATATTTTGATATAAGATCATCATGCCGTTTAATAAAGTTGCTGACCCAGTTCTTTCCAGTAGATAGGCCTGGATTCCGATGAGATAGTAAGATATCCGCCATTTTGCGTAAAGTATCCTGGGTTGGTGGTAGGCCGCGCTCATCCATATCCAGAATCATTTCTTCAGAGAACCCTCTTCTAGACTGCTAAGCTTCTGGCAGTTGGCTGGTATATCAACCCGCGCTTTGCGTCCGCTGATTCGATGTGTAAGAGTAGATCGAGGAACATCATATGCTGCTGCTGCTGCTCGTATGCTTTTGAACCCCAGGGCTACACCTTCGCGGAACTAGCTGCGCTCGCATACATGCCCGATCCTGTGCAAGAACCCATATTGCAGCTATGGACGGAGAGCCTCGACGCCGTCGTCGACCAGGCTATCCAGTCGTTGTCCGACCACCGGGTCAATGCGTTTGACCACGCCCGTATTAATAGCTTTATTGACGATGCCTACCGACGACCAAGTCATCGGCCGATCTTCTATCATCTCCAGCCCTCCACCAACCAGCGATATCGGCGGATCTGGAAACGCCTTCTCTGCTTTGTGTATCGCATGGCCCAGCCAAATCAGCCCGTCCGGCCAGCCCATATCCTGACCGAAGCCCAGGCGGACCTTCTGCAGCAGATGGTAGAACTAGGTCAGCGGTTACAAGGATATACCGCTTCCGCCACTGCCACTGTGCACGCCCCTGATCCGCCCCCCGAAGACGCCGCCAGAGTCGCATCGGCTGCCCTTAATCGCACCTGTCTTCTCTTCTGCATTTCCCTATTAGATCATGTCCTGCGGAGAGACCTCTTTGAGAGTGTGGTAGTAGGTTTCTTGGCCATTCTCAATGTAGATGAACGGATGGAGGATTTTCGCGGCGCCCACGTTTTTACCCCCATCCTCTCCGGATTCATCAAGATCGGACAGCTGCTAGTGATCCAGCGAGCCGTCCTGGCAGTGGAGGAGGGGACCGTGGATGAACCGTCGAGCATCTTGAATGAGATGCGGCAGCGATTCCTAGTCCATGGCTGTGCGACCCCCGTGGGCTGGGCGCTTCGCCTCCGGACCTACGGCAAGAAGATCAAGATCCACCAGATGCCCGTTCTTCCGGGGCATGTGGATTGGTCGGATGATGGCAACACCCTCAGCTACCGGGGCCAGAACCTCCACATGGTGGATTTTCAGCGTTTTACTCACTCCCAGGTAGAGATGTTGCAGTCGCAGTTAAACGGCCTTCTCCTCCAGACCTTGTCGTCGTCGCCGCCTCCCATCCCGCAGCTCCACCTATCCGAGCTTCACGATGACCACGCCCATCCGGGCACGGGATGGAACCTCCTTCGAGACCCACGAAACAAGACGCAGCTTGCAGGTCACGAGCGATGGGTCATAGATTGTATTATCGCCGACCCGCTGCTCCGCGAACAGTTTATAGAGCCAAGCAGCGAGAGGAACCGATTGACCTGGAAAAAACAAATGGCCACCGAATATCTAACCCAAGTGGATCAGTTCCTCGAACGGCTGCTCATTGTCTGCCACTTGACTTCGGGGCAGCCTGCGCGTGGAACAGAGATCCTTAGCCTTCGACATGTCAACACCTGGCATGGACAACATCGGGGTATCTTTGTGGAGAATGGGCTGGTGGGGTTAGTGACTGCATATCATAAAGGATACCATATGACCTGCTCCACCTGTCTGATCCACCGATATCTCCCGGAGCGTGCCAGTAAGATCCTAGTCTATTATCTCTGGCCGGTCCATCCCTTCCAGCAGCAGCTCAGAACGCTGGCATTCCAGGACGCCACACCGATGTCTCCTTTCCTTTGGCCTCCGGGGGCTGGCGGCTTTACTAGTGACCGACTGAGCAAGGCACTACGCCGGGAATTCCAGCAGTGTCTGGATATACGCATCACACTAGCGGACTATCGGCACGTCGCAAATGCGATTTCCACGACGGCACCTTCGCGTGGGCGGGTTCCAGAGAGAGTATGAGATTCCTGTCCACCCGGGGGATATCCAGGCTGCACACACCTCCTGGACCTCTAGTATGATATATGCTCGACCTCAGAATGAGGCCCCAGGCCACCTAGAAGCAAGGCGATGGGAATATCGGGTCGTTAGCCGTGGCTGGCACCACCTGCTGGGGTTTACTGATAATTCGACCTCCACTAAACGGACGCCGGCGGACCTTGACCTAGATGACGTGAGGGTGGATAGTATTGCCCGTAAGAGGCGGAAGCACATTCATCTTGATGGCGTGGCTGGAAAGAACTTTCGGAGATTAGAGGCTTTCTGGGGTTGTTAAGGATGGCAGTAGTAGAACTCACTAAATAGAATCTATTTATAAAATTAATACCTAAATACATTTTCCCGAATCCTTTTCTAGCACAGAAGTTGTCTAAAAGTAATACTAATTAAGCTTCTAACCTGATTTGGCATAGCTCCCGGACTCCCGCATTTAAGGTTGCTTTAGCGCTATATCAAAACCACTTCCGTCTGTATTATCCAATCCACGCTTTCTAACTGCCCGCAACACACCGCAATGCAACGCGAGCAACCCTACGCCACAACGGGCGGCGACCCTATACCCTAGTACGTGGTCCGGCCGGCCCCCGTTGCATTTGTCCTGCTGCCCGATTGGCTGCACCGATCTGTAGGTGCGTGCTCCCGTCTCCCAAGGTGCGTGTCCGCTGCCGGTTCCCTGCGTCTGCCCTGCGGCCCGCTGTTCGGTCCCGCTCTGGATCCTAAACTGGGAGGGATTAGAATAATTGCTTCTGAGTCGCGTCAGGCGCGTCGCGTTGTATCACATCATCACATCATGGGCTGGAGGGAGGATTACTCTGTCTCTCTCACACACTCTCTCTCTCACTCTCTCTTTCCCTCCTTCTCCTTTTAGAATTAAACCATATAAGATCCCTCGTATAGATAGTAGTGTCCTGATTTCGAAGATGGACCTTTTCCTCTACAACGCAACCTACCAGGTCTGGATCTGCACGGCCCACCGCTGCCAGTATGCCGTCACCTCCGCGACCGTCACCACTCCCATCCCACTGCGGCCACGGTGGCCCTCTGCCAGGCCGCCCTGACGGAGATGCTGAAGCGGCCCTGGATTGACCCCAGCCAGGAGGCCGGTCCGCTCCCACCCGGGGGGCCTCCCGTGGAGGGGCTGCCCGTCTACCGAGGCTATGGCTGCCCTCACTGCCCCTATGTTTGCCGGACCGCCCGGAGTTTGCAGGACCATCGCCGCCGGAACCACCAGGAGCAGGATGGGCACTGTGGGCGGGGCCGCCAGCCAGTG